TCCCTCTCGTGACCGAGACCACCCTGTCCGCCCTCCCACACCGGCCGAACGATGTGGATCAACCCTCGCACTTTTCATGTTCGCAACGTCAAGGACGGGCCGACGGGCCACCCAAATCATCCCAAGACGAACCAAGAGGCCCCCGAGACGGTCAAGCATGCCACAAGATTGGCCAAGAGGAACCCCCAAGCGGCCCAAGCGGGCCTGGACACGGGCTCAAGAAGGGGAGCACGAACTGAAAATTCCAGATTTCCCCCGAAGATGGCCCCAAGAGCCCCCCATAAGCCCCCGAGCAAGGAAACCCGGTCGTGCACCGAAATCGGGCCGGAACCCAGACCTGATTACCTGGGAATCTGGCCGCCTACCGACATCAGCCGGCCGCTTTCGACAGGTGTTCCGATTTCCGCCAACTTCAACAGTGACCAAACTTCACCATAACGTGCAAGCGCACCTGCAAACTTACCTGTCCTACAAGCAAGACATCTCTTAAACCGGTTTATTTCAATACCTTGCTTCCGGAGATGTAAGGTAACGCAAGGCCTGCCATGTCCGTTCCAACATACACGTCCCACGGCGTATACGCGCACACAGACACTTACCAAACCATATACGCAAGCGTTCCCGGTCGGCGCACGATTCGAATCTTGGCAGATGTATTCAAGGTCCCGTTTGGTGGCGTTTTCACTACGGGTCGGAATACTGCGAACCTCTAGAATCACGAACTTCCAAGCAGTCGTTACACATTGCCAACAAGACAAACAGTGGCAGCAGGTCAACGGATCGAGCGCACATATAGTCAATTCGCTTTGACTTTCGATTACAAGCTCGCAAATAGCGAAAAACTCCTGGGTCCGATACATCGCAAACTGGCAATCCGGTGAGAGCTCAGTCGGATCAGGCTGGCTCCCAAAGACGCCATGGGAGGACCGGCATCTGTAAAACTACGGGCAGCATGATGGAAGAGAAACGCAGACAAAGAGAGAGACAAAGAGAGAGAGAGAGAGGAACAAACAAAAAGAGAAGGAGAGGGAACTATAGAGGGGAGAAGGAGACATATACAAGACAAGGCAATACTGGAATAGAAAGAGAGCGAGAGAGAGAGAGAGGGAGAATGAAGGAATGGATCTGCGGTCGTAGCCGCCGCGCCGTGCCGCCGTAGCTTGCCTGTCAACGCAAGTGGCCCACCGCCGCCGCAGCCCATTCGCCCTGTGAAAGCGACCGCCAGCACCCGCACCTGCGTCGTCGTCGTCGTCGTCGTCGTCGTCGTCGTCGTCGTCGTCGTTGTCGTAGTAGTAGTAGTAGTAGTAGTAGTAGTAGTAGTAGTAGTAGTAGTAGTAGTAGTAGTAGTAGTAGTAGTAGTCGTAGTAGTAGTAGTAGTAGTAGTAGTAGTAGTAGTAGTAGTAGTAGTAGTCGTCAACGTCGTCAACGTCGTCGTCAACGTCGTCGTCGTCGCCGTCGTCAACGTCGTCGTCGTAGCCGCTGTCGATATATCGCTGGTTTGACGTAGACTTCCGATCCTCTGAGATTTTTTTTGTTCTAGCTCCAGGGGCCGTTTTCGAACTCCAGCGGCCGCCTGGCCTGTCGACCGATGGGCGGGCACGTCCCTCTGCAGGAGGAATAGTCAAAATAGTCGAGCGATAGTCGGAAGACTTCTCTCTAACAACATGCGAAAGAACTCTTATAACTATATTGAACTACTTCGAGCGCTGACTTCTCTTCCAAGGTCCGCCTGCAGGATGGCATGTCCGCCCTAAGGCTGCGATCGTCGAGGAGGATCTGCGTCGGCCGCCCCTGGCTCGCCTTCCGCCTCTCGACCCCCCCCCCTATCGGCCTCTCGAGGCCCCCCCGCGATGGGGCGACTGCGGCCGAAGTGCAACTCATCAGACCCACCGCTAACGTCGAATTCCTCCGCCTCCTCCTCCTCCTCCTCCTCCTCCTCCTCCTCCTCCTCTTCCCTCCATCCTCCTCCCTCCTCACTCCTCCCTCCCGCTGGCGTGCCGAGGGGGCGGCGGCCGTCACCCTGGGGGGCGCCCAGGAGACGTTGGGACGGCCGCCGTCGGGCCGCGCTTCCTCCTCCCCACTCTGTGGATATCAGCGATGTCCTCACTCCTTCCTCCTCTTCCTCCTCCTCCTGCTGCTCCTCCTCCTCCTCCTCCTCCTCCTCCTCCTCGTCCCCTTCCTCGTCATTGAGGGGGATGGGGAGGCCCTGACCGATGAGTGTGGCAGGCGTGCTCGCCGTAATTTGTGTTCCGAGGCCTGTCTGCGTCGCCCGCCGCTGGCCGCCTTCAGCCTCTCGAGGCCCCCCCCCCGCAGCCTCCCGGCCGCCCGCTGCCTGTCGACTCCGATGGGCGGCCGCAGCCTCCCGGGCATGAAGGGCGACCGGCAGGAGAGCGTGGCCGCGCCCGACGAGGAGTGGCGGGGCCCAGAGCCGCCGTTCATGTCCTGCCTTCCTTCCGTAGATTTCGCTCCTCCGTCGCTCCTTTGGGCCCCTACGAATCGTCCGCCCTCATCCTCCCATCTGGTCCTCTCCCTCTCACCTCTCCTCCTACCTCTCCTCACCTCCTCCTCCTCCATCTCCTCTCTACTCCTCTCTTCTCCTCCTCCCTCCCTTTCCTCCTCCTCCTCCTTTCTCCTCCCCCCTCCCCTTCATATCCTTCCTCCTCCTTGTCCTCCTTCTCCTCCTCCTCCTCCTTCTCCTTCCTCCCTCCTTCCTCCTCCTCCTCCTGCTCCTCCGTCCCCTCCTCCTCGTCCCTCTCCTCCTCATCCCCCTCCTCTTCCTCCTCGCCGACGGCGCTGGTCTATGGCGGGGTACAGTCAACGCGCAGAGTAAGGACGCGCGCCTTCATCTGAGGTACCCTTGGTGTCCTTGCCTCTGCGGCCCGTCCTTTGCCGCTTCCACTGGGGTTTGGGTCGCCCGCCGCCTAAAAATTCCCTGCTTCAGCCGCCAAGAGTCTTGCGTCCTTGCGTCCTTACCACCCGTGCTTCCTACACGTTTTGTTTGTAGTGGGGGTAGCACGGATGGGAGGGCTGGAATTGGTGCAATGGTAGGTGCAGCAGTTGCTGAATGGATCAAATAGTTTGCGGCTTGTGCACAAAAGTTGCGCGTGGACGCAAGCGTGCATTTTACAAACGCAGTAGGTTACGCCCCTTGAGTAGTTCGTGCCCCCCAGAGTTGGCGCAACAGCTCGCGCAAGCGATCTATTGCACCTCCCACCGTCCCGCATTGTCGCTGCCCCCATCGCTCCAGTCTAAAGCTGGGAGTGTCATCGGGGGCCCCCAAGCGGTGTGGTGACCACACCGTGTGGTGAGTCGAGTGGGGATCGGGGGGCCAGGAAATCGGAGTGAGGGTGAGCAGGTTTCGCTGGTTGTCGGTGGCTTTCGAAAGTTTCCGCAACCCAGGGTGGTTTCCATCAGCTGCGCCTCGCCGAGGGCGTTCCAGGGGTGCCGGAAGCGTCCCGAACGGCCGCCGAAGAGCCGAGCTCTGGTCCAAAAGCCAGTGCGGGGACCCCACCGTGCGGTGAGTCAGTGGGGACCCGGGGTGACCCCACAGTCTTGGGGCTTGGGTCGTGTTCCGAGCACGCCTCGGGCGACAGGGGCCTCCGAGGCTCCAAAGGCGTGCAGTGACGGACTGTGCGGTGAGATCGTCGCGGAGTTCGAGGTCACCACGGTATGTCACCGCACCGCTTCGGCACCCAAGGATCTGCGGTTCAAAGATGCGGTCACGAGGGACGGGGCCTTCACTCGGGGGTTTATCGCCGATGCACTGGCGATGCATCGCCAGAATAGCCGATTCCAGATCGATGTTC